GCTCTAACCAATTTATATTGTGAGCGAGATCGGATTGAGACCACTGTCCCTGTGCCATGTGAGTCTGTATGTGCGCGCCCCAGCCGAACAAGCTGGCGTCCGTGGTCAGGACGAGTCTGTGAGGCTCCTTGAACAGTGATCCCCTGTGTATGGCTGCCGACACCCACCAGTGGAGAGACATTAGAGTGTGATGAGGAACTCTCACTTTCCGTACGGAGGCACTCATGTTCTTCCTCTGGAAAAGTAGGAGGAACCACTGGAGATGTCTGGAGTGAAGTTGCGCCCAAGGCACTATGCCCAGATACGATATCATTTTTCCCAACAGCTGAGACAGCTGAACCAGTGGAACCACCTTGTTTCTCTGAATCTTGTGAACTAGAGATTTGATGCTGCCTTTGCGTTCTTGGGATAGATATACCTTGCACAGGTTTGAATCTATCACCGCGCCTAAGTGTAGAATCCGAGTGGTCGGAGTGGTGTGACTCTTTTTGAAGTTCACGGAGAAGCCGTGCCTCTGAAGAGTCTGAATTGTGATCTGCAGATCTATCTGTGCCGACCGGAATGACCTGGACTGGATAATGATGTCATCCAGGTAGCACTGTACTCTTACCGGTATCAGCCTGAGATGGGCTGCTAATACCGCCAGTAGCTTTGTGAAAACACGAGGGGCCGAAGATAGACCAAAGGGTAGGGCCCTGTACTGATAATGCCTGTGTGCATGGCAAAAAACGGAGGAACCTGTGGTGATGGGGCCTGATTGGGACATGAAGATAAGCCTCTGTCAGATCTATGGAAGAGAGATACTCTCCCTTCCTGATACTGGCCAGGATGGATCTGAGGGACTGCATTTTGAACCTCCTGTAGGCTATGAAATGGTTCAACCCCTTCAGATCCAAGATCGCTCTCCAACCTCCCGATGTTTTGGGAACCACAAAGAGGACGGAGTAAAACCCCTTTCCCCTTTGTTCCCGAGGAACCGGCTCTATGGCCTTTATATCCAACAGATGGGAAATGGCTGTAGGGACTAGCCCAGCCCTGTTTGCGTGTTTTGAGATTGGACACTGGATGAATCTGTCTGGGGGAATGGAATGGAATTCTAGGGCTAGCCCTAGTTTTATAGTCTCCTTTACCCAGGAATCACTGGTGGTGGCCTCCCAAACGTCGCTGAAGAGACTCAAGCGACCACCTATGGGAGGGTCCGTAATGGCGTCACTTTGACCTCCTGAATGAACGTCCCCCAGCTCCCCTGAAGGGACGCTTGCTCTGATATTGCCCCCTGATTCCTGTGCTCTGGCGGCCCTGTTGTCGATCCTGTTTGGGGGAAAAGGATCGGGAACCTCTGGGCCAATCCCAGGACTGCCCTGATCAAAAGGGCTGCCGCCAATCCCAGGTAGTTCCAGTCCGAAAAGACTGTCTGCGGAATTCTTGCTGGGGTCTCCTATCTGCCTTTTTGGAGGGGTGAGCCAATGTTTTCCTTTTGTCCTTACCCTCAACCAGGTGCGGTTCTAAAACTGCCCCAAAAAGCTGATTACCCTTATATGTGTCTGTAGCCAGACACCATCTTGATTTGAGATCTGCCCTCCACTGCTTGAGCCACAAGAATCTGCGAGACGCTACCGTGGCAGCAATAGACTTGGCAGAGTACTTGACCGAGTAGAGGGATGCATCTGACATATACTCCGCAGCCGCTACCAGTTTACCCAGATTCTGTTGTGCACGCACCTGATCTGGGGGAATTAAAGCCTGTAACTCACGGAGCCACATGATGGAGGTCCTTGCGAAAAAGGATGAGGAGGTCGCCGCCTTAATAGCCCAGGACGAGGCCTGATGAGCTCTGCGGAGAGAAAATTCGAATCTTTTATCCTCCGCCTTGAGGTTTTCCGCCATGTCACCCGGAACTGTAGACGTGGAGAATAAAGATGTCAATGGGGCATCTACCGTAGGAACCTCAAGGAGGGAAGAAAAATTAGGGGAAACATTAAACAGTTTCTTTTCCGTGCTGCTGGGTTGAGTGAAAGTGGACAGTGAAGCCCACTGTTTCTCCACCGTGGTGCGGAACACTGCAGGGCAAGGAATTTGCTTTTCCTCAACAACCTTTATCGTAAATAAGGGATTTGACTCTTGTGGGGTAGATGTAGATAGTTCAGGTTCCTGTTCTGCGACCAAATTGGCCGTGCTACAGGCCTTTGCTAAAAGTGATAGAAAAAGAGAAGGATCAAAGAGGCCAGACGCTGGAGTCGGATCAGAAGCCACCTCTTCATCTTCTGACATAGGTAGGTCAGGTGTGTCTAAGTCAACAGACTCGGCCTCTCCAAGCTGAGAAGAGGCCTCAGAAATACCAGAGCTTGCAGACTGGAGACCTCCAGTGCGATCTGCTGGCAAGGTTGGAGGAGAGAGGGATGGGGCCTGTGAAGGTCCCTGACCCATGGAGGACGCCATAAATTGGGTGAAGGCCTGTTGCATAAAGGAGTTGAACTGTTGCGCCCAGAAATTTTGCTCTGTAGAGGCAACCCCAGAAGTAGAAGCCTCAGCAGACTGTGGGGTAATTGAGGTAGCCGGGACTGAATGGCCAGAAGGAAAAAGAGGAGAACCGGGAAGGGAAGAAGGGAGACCAGCCTGTTCAGTTCCCCCTTGAGGAGACCAAGCCCTAGGGGCTTGATAAGAAGGTACCGGTGGAGGCTCAAAAGGTGAACTGCCCAGAGAAGCAGGGGGAACCACTTCAGTTTCACTGGACCTGAGCCTTTGTGCTCTGGAGAATTCTTTCTCCAATGCCTGATGTCTCCTCGAGGCCTCTCGCTCAGCAGCCTTGGAGGGTTCTGCAGATAGATGCTTGGTTTTGGCTTTTTTCTTTCCCCCCGCGCCCATATCAGAAGATCTGCGTTTGGATTGTGCGGGGGGGGGGCAATAGAACCCTGCGAAGTCTGAGGAGAATCACCATCTGCCATTGTGTGCCGGACCTTCCAGATAGGAGAAGCCCTGCAATGGGGGTAAACACGCAGATCAAGTTGTCCGGGAGGGAAATTTCCCGCGCCCTAAGACAACCACAATGGCAAATAGCCGGACAGATTTGTAAAACTGCCTGTTCAGGCCCTGCAGGCACAGCGCCGCGAGCTAATAAGAACAGGTGAAACAAATTCTCCCAATAAGTGTTTCAGGAATAAAGTTATTGAATAATACAAATTAGATGAGAAAAAATAGGACCTTTTCTTCTAAATGCAGTCCTTAAAAGGATCAGGAAAAATTGTAGAACACCCCCTTGAAAGCCCAACACAGCAGGCTGTAAATTGTTTTTGCAGGCCCAATCTCCGCCGGTGTGAAGTCCCCACCAAAATGGCGACCACACCTAGCACGAAAACTAAATGGCGGTCACAGGCCTCGTGGCCGCCAAAATGGCGACGCTGGAGTAAAGGGAAGCGATATTTAAGGTCCTGCAAGGTTGTCAAGGGCTCCCACGGGTCTCTGCCACCCAGTCTTCACTCCCTTCGTGAATAAGGCAAACAAACTTGCGATTTGTTGAACGGGCAAACAGCCCTCCGCTCTCCTCCGGAGCCTCGTGGCCACGAGGAGAAGAGATTCCTTTCGCCCAACCTTCCGGCTCGACGAACTGCTCGTTCCTGTTCTCAGGAAATCCCCCTCTCCGTGCCAAACAACCGAGCCAAGAACAAACTCTCAAGCGATGAGGGAAATCCCAGCACCGCGCCAAACTTCCGAGCCGAAGAAAAAGCCTCTGAGCGCTCAGGGAAACCCCCTCACAGTGCCAAACGGCCGAGCTGAGCCAAAAACTCCCTAACTTTCAGGGAACCTCCTTCACAGCGCCAAGCAAAAAAGGCTCCCAAACGCTCAGGGGAATCCCCTTCGCAGCGTCCAAAGGCGGAGTGAAACGGAGGCCAAACGGCGAAGGTGAGGCTCCCAGGGAAGCGCGTCCCTGCCGGGAGTCCCCTAAAGGGCTGAAATAAAACAAACCAAAAACCTTCTGCAGTCTTTCTAATAAGAGTAAAGAAAAATATAACAAATGAAATTTGCCAACTAACTTTCCCAATCTAACTAGCTTGATTCAAATTAATCTATTTGAGGAGCTATGCGAAGTTGTGTCCTTACTGAGCCGAGACTAAGAACAAACTGGGGAAGGACCGCCCCAGGGAGGCGTGGCCAAAGTTTGGTCTTAGTCTAAACTGAGCAGGAAGGCTTCGATAACCCATCGGTGGAGGCTACATCTCACATGCTGTAGAACTGCTCGACCCCTCTGTTGAGCTGCAGAAAAGGGGCTTGAATCCTGAAAATCTGAGTCCCTTTTCTGCAGCACAGCGAAGGCATTCTCTCCCACACACACACAGGAGAGTTCAGCCCCTCTGAAGCTTTCTAGCCATCTTTCCAGTGAACGCTGTTCTCAAGACTACAAAGATTTGTAGACTTCAGAAAGATGACATTCTCTAGCTTTCTAGCCCATGGAAAGACTAGAAAGCTAGTGAACACCACCATTCTGAAGACTAGGAGGATTTCTAGCCTTTAGAATGATCGTGTTTGCTAATTTTCTAGACTACCTAGGCTTAGAACACTAGCAAATGTGATCATTCTCCTGACAGTTTGGAAGGTACCCTATCCAAAACACATATTCATAAAAGAAGCCTTCCAAGATTGTGAGAATGGGGCTTGCCTGCAGAAAAAGGCAAAGGTAAGTGGACCTAGCATATTGGGGTGGGGAGAGGACCCAGCCCTCCCAAACATGGTAGAGCAGGCGGAGGGCTCTCTCCCTGGAGCTCAGCTTAGCAACCTGTGCAATTGGTTAATACTGCAACTGGGACAGCCGGGATTGCAGTTGTTGAGTGAAGCGGTCACGTGTCACTTAACTGCTTCCCATAATGTCTGAGATTCTGATCCAGTCATGGTCGGAAGTTGAGGACTATCTGTACTTGAGCTATAAATTATAGATGTGAAAGGTAGTGAGTTCTATATAATAAATGCTGAATATGATGTTTTCTGTGCTTCCATTTTTATCACAGGAGGTGTTGCTTTACTGAGAGCTGCAGCAAAGAATCATGCCCGGGTGACAGTTGTTTGTGATCCTGAAGATTATACTAATATAGCAAAAGAAATGAAAAGCTTCTCTGATAATGATACCAGTTTGGAAACTCGGCGTCAGTTGGCTTTAAAGGTAAGGTGTACTTATGACCACCTATATAATGTGCCTGTTACATGGAGAATTTTCATATTTTCATAGTTTTTAAACTACTTTCATGACAGCTGCATCTCTCTCACACTTTTTGTAGGCCTTTACTCACACTGCTCAATACGATACAGCAATTTCTGACTACTTTAGGAAAGAGTACAGCAAAGGAGTATCTCAACTTCCACTGAGATATGGCATGAATCCCCATCAGGTTCCTGCTCAACTCTATACTTCAAGGCCTCAACTTCCTCTCGCAGGTAGGAGGCACTCAAAATCCACTCTGAAGGCACTCCAGCAGGATCATTAATAAATAGCAAGATTGTTCAAAAATATTATGTTGCTGTAGTCATAACAATAATTTTATCAGTTAGGTCAGACCCATTATTTTCATTTTCCTAATAGCTTAAGCTTAAAACTGCCTATGTTTTTGAGTTTATATCTCCAGCACCTGATGAGTAAGTGCTATATTGATGATCTGGCTAAAGTTTTGTTATGTGAAGAACAGAACAAATGCCCAGAGAACCCCCATTTTCAAAAGGGCAGGGGAAAGAAGAATTCCAGGAGCTAAAGGCCAGTCTGACCTCAGTAACCAGAAGGATTTTAGAGCAGATCATAAAGAGCTCAGCCTGTAAGCACCTTCAAAACAATGTGATTATGAAAGCAAAGCATCTGATAGAATTCTCCATGATATTCTGATGAGCAAGCTAGTGAAATGTGTGCTAGATTGCAGATGTATACATAGCCGAGTAGAAAATTGTATTCAAGAAATGCTTGTTTGTCAAGCTAATGTGAAATATTAAATGCAGAGCCATAAAGTTCAGTCTTGGATTCTGTGCCCTTTGACAATTATTAACAACATGGATGAGGTCATCGAGAGAAGTTTATCAGATTTGCAGATGATCCAAAATTAATTGGGATAACTAGTGCCCTGAAAGAAAAAATGAAATTCAAGTAATCTTGAGAAATTAGAAAAATGAAGTAAGAAAATGAGATTTAAGAGAGGCAAATGCAGAGGTTTTCACATAGGAAACAGAAATCAGATGCACTGGCATAGGATAGGCTACCTGAAGGCAGGACAAAAAGCAATGGACAGAAACTAATCAAGGAGAGAAGCAGCCTAGAACGAAGGAGAAATTTCCTGACAGAACAATTCAGTAGTGGAACAACTTGCCTCCAGAAATGATGGAAGCTCTAACACTGGAGGTTTTTAAAAAGCGATTGGACAACAATTGATCTAAAATGGTATAGGGTTTCCTGCTTGAACAGGGGTTGGACTGGAAGACCTCCAAGGTCCCTTCCAATTCTGTTATTTTGTTATACTGTTGCGATGCTGTTTAATAAAAGCAAATATGTTGTTGGTGGCAGGATTAGAGCTGATTCTAAAATCTGATTCCCAGTTCTTTGTACCAGTAAAGATAACACAATCTAGTTGCTAATGTTGGACTATGACTAAGTAGACACAGGTTCAGATTCAAGTTTACTGAAATACTTTTTTCCAATAAGTGTCTGTAGGTTTAACTCTTCTGCTTGTTCTGAATTATGTATGAAAATGGTATTGCTTATTCTCAGCTGCTGTAAAAAATCTTGATAACTAGATTTAGATTTCACTTGTATTTTTCTTCTCTGATTTTATATATCAGAACATTGGAAAAAAAGCTTCTTGGAACTCTGGAATGTAAAGTTTATATATGTACTTTTAAATCTTAGTTTTACATAGAAGTATTTTAAGTCAATAAAACTTCAGTCCTCATAGAATATAGAATAAATTTATAGATGCATTTAACATTTAGCTCTTTTTCCATACCCAACTGTTCATATACTTTTTTGAACTCTTAATGATATTACTGTAGCTCTACCCTTATTCTCATCCCTACCTCTTTTTTTCTTTCACCATCCCCTCAGATAGTAACTTTCAGATTTCAATCCTAAGAGAGATATCTGCATTTGAATTATACTGTATGTTTGTTAGTTAAATAATCCTATTCTGGAGTTTGTTACTGAATGGATAAAGAGGCTAATGGGAACATAACTTGGGAGCCCTGTTCTACTTATGCTGGTAATATTCCCAAGCCAATGTGTAATTGCCTTAACCTGAAGCAAACTAGACACAATTCCTATTCCTCTTTAGAAAACTCTACAGGGATGAGAGTAATTTTCTTCAGGCACCTAAAAGATGTCATAGAGCAGGGGTGTCAAACTGCCGGCCCATAGGCCGGACGCATCACGCGGAAGCCGCGCCCACCCCATTGCCGGCAATGGCAAAACTGCCAATATGTTGCACGATGTCACGTAATGTCGCGAGTTTGACATGTCTGTCATAGAGTGTCTCAAGAAGGCAGAAAAAGTTATCCACATTTCTGCTGGCTCCTTTTAATGTTGGATACCTTCTGTAAAGATAAACAAATGAGCTTAATCAGTTAGCTGACATAACTTCGCTAAGCAGAAGTAAGAACCATCACTAACTTATAGCCAGTAGGATTAATATATGGAGCTTATGTGGAGAACCTGTATTCTTTTTTGAATGTAATTTTTAGTAAAAAATTAAAAGAAGAAAGTAAAAGCTAATATCAACTAATAGATAGTAAGAAAGAAAAAAGAAAAAAAGACAGCAAAGAGAAGCCAAAAAGGCAAGAAAAGAAAAAAAGTTGAAAGAAAAATATAAAGTGGTTTCCAATATTCTTCACAGCAGTTATAAGTACAAATATACTTTGACCTCTCTCGCTAAAGTTACATAGTATTGCTCTTCTTTCTGTAATCTATCCTGTTTAATCATCAAAACCATAAGTCAAAAGTTCATTTTTTTATTTTTATGCAAAGTCCATAAGAGGCTTTCAGTCAGCAATAAATACAGATGATGTCTTTTTTCTAATCAAAGACATTTCAGCAAAATCTGTCAATTTCACCAATCATTCCTCCATAGTGGACAGTGTGGAATCTTTCCATCTCTGTGTATACAGTACTGCTGTGATTATATATTGAAATAATCTTCCAATTCATGGCTTTCTATTAATCCTACAAAGAATAGTTCTGGCTGCAGTAGAATATTAATTTTTAAAATTCTCTGTATCAAAGTATGTGTTTGGATCTAATTTTTTTTAGCTTTTTACACCAGGAGTGATAAAATGTATCTTCATGTTGTTCACATTTCAAAATACATTTGAAGTATCTTTATACATTCTAGAAAATTTCTCTGGCATTGTGTGCCAATGATGCATGCTTTTATACAAAAATCTCTTTTAACCACATCCTCTCCCATTGATCCATCTATATATTATAACCAAAATTGATAGGCCACTTTATTATACATTCTGTTCTCTCTCTGTTTCAAGTTTTAACAAAAGCTTGTACATTTTAGCAATTACATGTTCATCAACAGTACTCAATTGTATTTCAAATTCTGATTTACTTTGCTTTATACCATAAGTCTTTCTATTCATTTTAAATCTTTCAGATAACTATAAATGGGAGAACCATTGACAACTGCAGGTAATCCTCGACTTACAACAATTTGTTTAGTGACCATTCAAAGTTATAACGGAACTGAAAATTGACTTACGACCATCTTTCACACTTATGACCTTTGCAGCATCCCCATGGTCTTGTGATTTGCATTTGGATGCTTGACAAGTGGTTCATATTTATGACTGTTGCTGTGTCCCAAGGTCATGTGATCACTTTTTGCAACCTTCTGACAAACAATGGGGAAGCCAGATTCATTTAACAACCGTGTTACTAATTTAACAACGGCAGTGATTCATTTAACAAATGTGACAAGAAAAGTTGTAAAAATGGGACAAAACTCATTTAACCAATTTCTCATTTAGCAGCATAAATTCTGGGCTCAATTTTGGTTGTAAGTCAAGGACTACCTTGTATATCCTTCTGCTATAATTGTTCTTTCAATTTGATTTTAAATTTCCTTTGATAAATTTCCAATAAGTCCTGATATGTCAACCATTTATCTTTATTGCCACTTCTTTTTTATAATATGCTTCTTGAGCTAAGATCCATAAAGGGATTTTCGGACAGTCTTGAGTTTATAGCTATTCACAACTGGTGTTCTGAACCTGAATTGATGGCAGATGTAGTCTACACGTGCTTGTGGTGCCTTCTTGCAAGAATGGCTTTTATAGCTGAGTGAGCCTTTTCATTTCTTCACAGTTCTGAATGGTTCCCCAGGGTTTATAAATCTGTGTGATGCTCTGAATGCCTGGCAGTTGGTCAGGGAGCTGAAGCAAGCATTGGGCATTTCCGCTGCCACTTCATTCAAGCATGTCAGTCCAGCAGGTAATACTGAATTTCCAAGTTCTTGTCTTGTTGCTTACTGGTGTATTTTCTTCAGAGAGCATGTTGGCTCACATTTTAAGAGATGCTCCATTTCTGAGATGGTCCTGTAAAAAACATATCAGGGTTTTAGTTAAAGAAATTGACTTTCTAACAAAGTTGTGTATAATGTTATGAAAAATAATGATGTGCATTATTTAAGTGGAATAGAAACAATCATTATGGGCCTCAGGACAACATGTGAAATAACGTTACACTTTTGTAACTTGAGAAGTCACTTTCAGACTTCTGAAAAGTGGCTTTTACTGTCTTTCACTTACTAGGTGCCGCTGTTGGTGTGCCCCTCACTGAGGAAGAAGCTGAGGTCTGCATGGTGTGTGACTTGTACCCAACTCTAACACCCTTGGCAGCTGCATATGCCAGAGCAAGAGGTGAGTGGGGTCTCAAAAGAGGGCCATGTTTTCATTTAATATTCTGGTTAGAATTACTGCTCTTCCTGTCTGTATAATGATGGCCAAACTGTTTAAGGCTTACTTGGCATTTTCTCACATCTGTCTTATATAAATGACTGACAACCTCATCCTGTTCAATTACTTTATAAATGCCAGTTGCTATGAAGTAGTGAAAGATATCTGATTAGTCAAGCAGCAAATAGAGAAACAGCATCTACATATTTTAAAGCTCTACAATGAATGGATCCAGCCTGGCACGGGTTCCATCCAGTCGCTGTGTTTTTTCTTCTATATATAAAACACGGGTCTTACTCAATGAGAGTTTCTCAGTTTGGAAACATTACTTTTTTCCAGGTGCTGATAGGATGTCATCTTTTGGAGATTTCATTGCTTTATCTGATATCTGTGATGTTCCTACAGCTAAGATCATTTCCAGGGAGGTCAGTAACTAGCATTTTCTCCTGCAGTCATACTTGCAGTTGAAAATAACTCTTATCAAAGTATGACTGCCCAGAGTCAACTTGTAATTAATAAAATAAATAAATAAATAAATAATGACAATGCATTCGGGGATAGTTGGGGAACTTCATGGGTCAAAAGGGCATCTTAACCTTTGTGAAACATTAAGAGATTGATTTCCTCCATCCATCCCTCAAATAAGGCTAGTTTTTGTCCATCCCCCCCCAACAACCAATACACAAGTTGTAAACTTGCATGAGATCAGAACATCATGGCTACATATCCTGTTGCTCTAATAATGATCCTAGCCACAGTAATTATGTGCTCCTGCACTAGACAATTGATCTTATCCTGCTTCTAGTATTTATAACAAAGTAGAAATTGGGAAAGTAGTGCTTTCAAAGATGGAATTGAAAAAGGACTTTATGAAAGTGAAAAGAAACTCGCAGAATGCTGAGAAGAGTTTACTTCTGCAGTGCTGTTTAAGGGCTTCCAGAGTAGGCAACTCCAGTATGGGTTGAGGGAACATTTTAGGCTCTTTCTGGTTGGATGACTCCAGTGCAGACTGCAGGGAATTGTATAGCACACTTAGAAGGCAAGAAATCTACTTAGAAGGCAAGAAATCTACAGCCAGCCCAAAGGCTTCTCAGCAGTCACAGAATGTCTAGGTTGTGAGAAACCCCACAGTGTATGCCAAGATGGGACTTTGGGTCCACAACCAGCAGCAAAGGAATGACTTTGCATGGAATATAGCTACTGAACACACACACACACACACACACACACACACACACCTCTATTTTGCAAATCTGGTTGCCTCCACTGTTCAGATTATTGTGATGAAGTGAATCTATGCCATACATTTAAGCAAAATGTTGCCTGACAAAATGTTCAGAGTACCAGTCAGTCAAACCTCCAAAATCTTCATTCTGTTTCCCCTCCTCTGATTTTTCTCTCCCTCTCTTTCCAAATTCAGTCCTTACTGGTTCTTTTGAGTTCCTCCTTAATTAGTATAATTCTGGTTGCTCCTTTGTAGTGTACACAAATATTGCTGTTTCTGCTATGTAAAAATCAGCACTCAAAGTTCGTCTTCTTGTCCCACTTCATGGTTTAACCTTTATTTGTGTAGGTGTCTGATGGGATTGTGGCTCCAGGCTTTGACGAAGAAGCCCTCAAAATTCTATCAAAAAAAAAAAATGGCAATTACTGTGTACTCCAGGTCAGTGTTTTATTCTTGAGGATAATTGATTTAAATCTGTGTCTATTTCCATTGTGCTTCCCAATCTAAAATCTGATTTCGTGATTTGCCTGTTCCAAGTGTTTTTGTACAAACTAAGCTAAAAAGATATGAACTCTCATTCTTAAACCTCTTTAAACTGCTTGCAATGGTTTTTATATTAGAGCTTCAATTTTTTTTATTGTTAGTATAGTACATTTGATTGGCTATCAGTCCTGATTGATCATCTCTTGGCTGCATGTTCCTTCTCCCAGTACCTCACTTAAGCTCTGTAAAATTCTCTAGCCTCCTCTCTGTCCCCATAGTTGAGTTTAGGCCTTTTGGCAAATCTGAATTGCCCTTCCTCTGCCCGCAATCTGGCAAATTTTTCCTTTTTATTTTTCCCTTTCCTTTTAGTGGGTTTAAAGGGCAAAATAGGTGTTTTAAGCTTCTGCATAAACAAAAAATTGAGGCTGAAAATTTCAGCCGCATCCATTCTGAGGTCCAGTTGGAGCCCAGAAACACACAAAAAAAGCTGCTCATCACTCTTGCAGATCAGCACGAAACTTTTAGCAGTGCCTGCTTTCTGGAATAAGGTACACCGCTAAGATCCAGATGAGTCCCACTGTTGTTATTTGGAAGAGCTGTGGAGACCTGACTCTTCACCCAGACCTTTGGTGAAAGAGTGAGGTCCCTTGTGTTATTCTGATTGGTCAGTGGACTTTGCCATTTTTTTAATCTTTTACTCTATTTTATTGTAATTTCTTTGTTCCCTGTGAGCCACCCAAAGTCATTGGAAGTTACGTAGCACACACAGCTTTAAAAAGTTATGGTTAGTCACACAGTCAAATGTTTAGACTGCATTTGACATTTTTATCTACCTATGGGGCCCTTCCCAAGGACCTGGGAATAAGCAGATGTTGTTTCATGTGTTTATTATTATTTGCAATATTTAATAATGAAATAAGAATGTGCTTGATGTGTAATAAATATATTTTAAGATTCATTCTTGAAGTTTTTGAATGAAACAATAATAAAAAGTTAATCCTGGTGATTAGAAATTTAACAGTTTGGGGTTGACCAAGTGAGTTTGGTTTCCAAGTGAGTAATTGCTCTCAAAAGAATAAAGTATAGCTACAGTTGTTATATGTATACATCTTCCCAATACTGCAAATTCTGAGCAGAGCAGTCCAACTCACCTTTACTCAAAAGGATTCCTTGTGTGTTCATGTGGTTTCTTTTCCAGTTAGAGAAGTTAGAGTCACAAGCAAATATTAATGAGCAGAAGGTTGCAATTCTGAACATCCTGAATACCAAACAAATGCCACTTCAGTATTTTGAACTGTATCTTGTTATTGTAAGGACCACCATTTCTTGGCCATCTTTTAACTATTTGAAATAATGGGAGTTAGATATTTCAATAACTCTCTCACTGATACTAAACCTCATTGGCTATGATACTGCTACTGCACAAAGATATTCCAATACATAAAATATTAGACTGTCTACCTCTTACCAGGTTTAAGTATAGGAAACCAATTTGGAATAACATATCACAGTCTTATAATCTAGATGAAGAATGGCAATTAAGATGGGCTACTTTTAATAAGCACAACCAAACAGATCACACAGATCCAACAAAACCACTTCCAGGAATGCAGTTGCCCTGAAAAATATGGAGCCACCTGAATACAAGCAGGACATAACATGCCAGAACTAAGGCAAAACTCTTTAAATGGGGAATGGCTGAGAGCTGGGAATGCAACTGGTGCACCTGAATAAACTATAACACATATAGTTCAAGAATGTACCCTCAGGAAATTTCAAGACACCTGAGATCTCACTGCAGCCACACCAGAAGCAGTTAGATCACGGGTGTCAAACTTGCCACGTCACGTGACATGTCGCGACGTATCGGGACTCTTTTTGCATTGCCAGCAATGGGGTGGGCGTGGCTTCGGTATGATGAAACCAGCCCGTGGGCCAGCAGTTTGACACCCCTGAGTTAAATGGTTAGTTTCTTTAGATAATTGAATTATAACATCCATTCCATTGCAATTCTATGGCTCCATATTATGTTAATATATTGTATTATATACATATCATACATACATACATATATATATGTCTTGAGTGGTTTTTGGGTTTTTTTGAGATGCACCCTGTCGGCCCAAATATGGGAAGAAGAAATCTTTTGCCTGTATCAGCCCAATCTAGGGCCATCCACAGGCAGCAGTTGCTACTGCGACATCATTTATACGCTAAATTTTTGGATTGCTAAAATAGCTATACCAGTCTCCCTTTAATTCTTTGTTAGCAATCCAAAAATTTAGCATATATATATAAATAATAATTGATACCAAATAACGAGTTAAGGATATGCAATCTTTTTCTGATTTTAGATGGATCCAACTTTTGAGCCAGAGCAAAATGAAATCCGTACTCTCTTTGGATTGCATTTAATGCAGAAGAGGAATGACGGTGTGATTGATCGATCACTGTTCAAAAACATTGTTACTAAAAATAAAAATGTAAGTAGGAAAAAGCATGTTTTGACATCAGAGCTATCTGCAAGTTAGGTATTTAATTGATATGTCATTTTGAATGAAAATGGGATTAGTTCCAATAGTAATGCTTAGTCCTATTGCATCTGCTGTTAAAAGGATCTCTATCAACAGGGCTGTTAACAATCACTTTTGAAAACCCTGTGTAAGATTGCTTATGAACCAGATGGTGAAAATTGCTCTGTTTGTGCAAGTTCTGTATAGACAGAAAACATGGAGAAGAACAGAAGATTGGAAATATTAGATACGAAATTCAATTTATGTTTGAACTGGATTGCAATTACAAGAGAGGGAGTTTTTTCTTTAAAGAACCAGCCCCAGAAGAATGTAGCTAGCAGAATTTGCTCTAATATCTCTCTAGAACACACACTGACAAATCTGTTGCTACTACAGACGTGGCAGGTTCAAGAACAAGTAGTTACTGAAAAAAAGTTTTGGATTTTTTGCTTTATTAATCTGGATTAGGAAAGGGGAAAGGGTTTGTGGTAAATATGGTTTAGTCTTTATGCTGCTGTTTTGGGGCACTTTCTGCTTGCTTTAGAATAGCCAAAAACTATCCTACTGATTTCCTACTATTGATCATAGGTGGAGAATCTTCTCTGCCATTGACACAGACCATTAGCTATGAGAATGATTTGTGAAACAGTTTACTCTTTCTGACACAAGCTAGATATCTAAAAAAAACCCTCTAAAGTCAACACTCCTTATTTTGCCCCTTTGAACCTCAAATTTTGCCTTCTCTGGTGATCAAGGTCCAGTTGCAACAACAGTAACTTTGGGTTGGCTGGGTAAGGCAAGATGGCTCAAAGAACAGCAAAAACATTAACACTGATTATGGCTAGGAAGCAACCTTCCTGTTTAGCTCAGTACTGGCAAATTTTATTCAAAATATTTTTTTAGGATTTCTTTGGTAGCCATGATTGGAGACACCAGGTTTGAACTGGGATTATCTGCAAACGGAGGGTCTAGTCACTTGTGGAGCTACATCAGATGTTTAAATCCAGGTAGCATTCAACAGGATCACCTTTGCAGCTCTTCCAGACTAAAATACATGGCATGCAGACAATGAATATTAGGAAATAGTGTGGTTATGCAGGAGATGTGTTGCTGAAACATAAAGTAAATAAAAAGCCCCAACGGTGCTTTTCCAAAAGGCAATTGGACTTTCTTGGGGTTTTTCCTTGAAAACATTTCTCTTCTCATCAGTTCTGAAGAACCTTTCTTGGATGAGAAGCGAAATTTTTTCAAGGAAAAAAACAAGAAAGTCCAGTTGCCTTTTAGAAAAAACACCTTTGGGACAACCATGACCTGGATGATTTGTTTGATAGACATCAAACAAAGAGATATTGGTAAGCTTTTTAAACTGGAATTCATAACTCTGATATTTTAAGAAATTCCCTTCCATTAAAAAAACATTTTTATTGTAATTCAACCACCCAACTTTTTGTATTTGGAATAATATAATTTGGGCATGCTGATGAATGATACAATTCAAAGTCAGGGGTCAGAACAGCCCCTAATTAATTGCCCATTAGCAGAATAACTAACTGATCTGTCCATCAGCAGGATAATTCTCTGAAAAATGAACAGAATGGGACCTCATTTGGTGTGCAGAGAAACCAAAAAAAGAAAAGGTCAAATTTGAAAATGGTGTGGGTTCAGCTGGGATTGAAGACCAAAAAAAAAAAAAAATGGGAAAAGAAAAATGAGTGCAATCCTATGTGACTTAGAATGTTGCTGATATTCATAATAGTGCTGAGTCTTCCATTTTAAACCTCCTTCCTCTTCCTGGTCATGTGACCAGAGTAGAGCTATTAAGGAGTTGGAAAGAATTCCAGAAACCAGGCCAGCATGTTACTTCTTTAAGAATTCCTGATTTTGACAGTTTTTGACTTAGAACCACAATTGGGACCAGAATCCTGGTTGCTTAGTGAAACAGTCATTAAGCAAGATATTCATGTGACTGCTTCCTCAATGACTGCAATCCTGGTGCTCCCAGTTGTTAAGTGATCTCCTGGTTCATTAAATGGACAGAATGAAAGCTGCCTGCTGAAGGATTTTAGCTATTTCTGCCGCCTGTCAAAGAATTTCAGCTCCCTTCCACCTGGCAACTTTCCCTCTAACTTCCTTTTGATTTTCTGAGAAAGCTGGAAGAGAAGATTAGGTGATCACATGATCATGGGATGCTTGGCATGGCAACTAGTTGTAAACGGGAGTTGGTTGCTAAGCACCTGAAATGCAGTTATGGAATGGGGATGGGGGGGAGCAAATTTTTTTGATGGCTGGAAATGCTTCATGGCCTTAATAAATCATCTTTCCAAGGCCATTGTAACTTTGAAAAGTTGTTAACTGACTAATTGTAAGTTGAGGACTATCTCTAGCCAGGTGGTGTTTTCATTTCCCTTTAAAGACCCAAGATGCCTTTGTAATAATCTCTTCTTTGTTTCAGTTGCCTGATTCAGCTATCAGAGATCTCATTGTTGCCACTATTGCTGTTAAATATACTCAGTCTAATTCTGTTTGCTATGCCAAGAATGGGCAGGTATGTACACGGGGACATTAGAGGAGAGTGTTTCATTGTTCTTCCTGATTTACTGTTCAATTTTAAAACTGATTGCTGTCAAAACAGATCTTACTGTTATAAAATTGTTCCTAATGTTTCTAACATATAAATTGTTATCCTGGACAATAACAGTTTTCATCTTGTTGTGTGAGATGGTCTTTCAAGAATATGAAGAGTGCTATGATATCAAGCAGTGATAAGGGCATTTAAAGATTCTATCAAAGCTCATAATTTAATTTAACAAAATGTAATCCATGCAGGTTCTAACTAGCATGCTCTATAGTCAGTTGTTGATTGTTCAACAACATCTCACCAACATCAGATTCTCAGATCTGATATAAACATTTTTTCACATACATTAAGTTAAATATTGTGTAAATGTACAAGGCTGTCTTTCTGTTATAAGGCTTCGTTCATATTTTGAATTACTGAATCATCGGTGACCCTACCCAGTCTGTACATTCTGATATTGTGGACTTCTGGGCTTTCAGTAGCTCAAATCAGAATTCTTGCTGCACTCATTAATCTTAGTTTTCTCACCATCTTTATATAGAGATCCTGGGAAATTAACTAGGCAAATGAAAGGAGTTTAGTTTTATCTGTCAAAGCTAAAGCTGGTAGATGGCCCTTTCTGTTTAGAAAATGCAGTTGTATACATCATGGAAGATTATGTGAAGTTAAGCCTTTCTTGGTTTAAAGAGTGATTTCATGAATGTATTGAAATAATTGAGAAATAATTGGCTTGCTTCATTTATTGAAATGAAAATAAAATTATTCTTAAGAAAGGCTGAAGTGCCATATTGCAAAGCAGGGGAAAGGGGGATCTGAGGAACTACCGACTTCTGACATTATCTAGGAAGATTCTGTGTCAGATTATGTAGGAGTTATTGATGTACAAGCCCCTTGAACACAGTAATTACTACTAGACAGCAAAGATGGAACAAGAATAAGATTTAGATTAGAATCGTATCTATATATATATATATTTTATTGAAAATTTTATAACATTTTACAATATAAATCCCTCCCTCAAACCCACCCTTCCGCCCCCCTCCCCCCCACTTCCCAGAGCCAATCACAGGAATAATAATAAAATAATCATACTCTAAATAATCTTAAACAACTATAAAAATATTAAATCTATAATCTCCTTTAACTCTATCTGAAAACTGTTAAAATAACAAATCTGTAACCTCCTTTAACTCTCTTTTCAACAGATATATAATTAATAAACACGACAATAATAATATCATATTAATAGTTAAAATTAAAAATAAGTACTCTAAAATTCAATTAAGATTCAATTAAACACAATGATATTAATATCATTTTAAGAAATAAAAAATAAAACTAAATCATTTAAGCAACATTAACATTCTAGACTTCGCTAAAAAAACCCAAAAAACCACTCTTTTAGACCCATATCCAGTTAATAAACGCACTAATAATAACATCATACTAACAATTAAAAATAATAATAAGTAAACTGTTATAACATTTAAACAACAATAATGGTCTATAATCTACTCTATTATTAATATAATAAATTGCTCCCTAAACAAAATCAATCAAAGAAGAGAAAAACCTTATTCATTCTTCTTGCAGTTAAATTAAAAAGCAGGAAAAAAAAAACATTCTAAACTTCACTAAAAAAAACCCCACTCTTTTAAACCCATATCCAATTATTAAACACACTAATAATAACATCATACTAACATTTAAAAATAATAATAAGTAAACTGTTATAAACAACAATAATAGTCTAAAATTCATAATCTACTCTCTTATTAACATAATAAATTGCTCCCTAAACAAAATCAATCAAAGAAAAGAAAAGAAAAGAAAAAAAAAATCCTTCCACAGCCTTATTCATTCTTCTTGCAGTTAGATTAAAAAACAAAAAAAAATTCTTATTTCCAAAATTAATATCTCAATTCATATGTCCACATTTTTAAGTACTCTCTTTCTTGCATCTATAAGCTGCACGGGTCATTCTTTAAGTTTTCTGATTGTCTCTAACTTGTTGCTTAATTTCATCTTGATCTTGTGATTTTGTCGCACTTGATAATAGTATAACTCCTTCAACCGCTTAATCTTCATAAATTCCTTCCTTCCTGGTATCTTGTCGGACAAAAGGGCAAAATCTTTCCTTCTTCTAAATACTTTGAGTGGTATTTTCTGCTTATAAAAAAGCTGAATGATTCCATTACGAATTGATTTTCTAGAAGAGTAGATAACAACATCTCTTGGAAGATTTTTCTGTCTTGCAACCCGTATATTAATTCTATAATTTTTTTCCATTTCTCTCATAATATCTTCGGGCTGACAATTCAGAACCATAACCAAATCTGCTGCATCCTCTTCCTCCGATTTCTCTCGAGGATTTTCTCTTTATTATCAAAGCATGTTCCAATTCTCTATATTGTGACATAATGACCTCATTTTGAATTAAGTCCACTTTTTCCTCCATTTCCAGTTCAAATTCCAAACTTTCAACATATTCCTCTACTTCCTCCTCCCCTCCATCAACACATTCTTCATGACATGCCAAGCCTTGAAGGGCAAACAATAAATCTTTTCTCATCTCTGCATTTTTCTCTTCAAATTTCTTATCAATAATTTTCTCCATATCCATTTTAATCTGTCTTACAT